CAACACCGGGACTATCGCCGCCGCCGCCACCGCCGCCGCCTTCGTCCCGCGCCTCGGCTTCCGCGTCCGTGAGCCAGGACGTCACGCTGACGGCGTGCATCATCACCGGCCCGGCCTCGACCCTCCCGTCCCCGAGGAAGGCGGACAGCCTTGCCCCCAGCTTGCTCTCCCTCTGCGGCGGGGGCTTCGGCGCTTGCACGAGGTGCGTACCCTGGATGACTTTTTTTTTTTTTCATTGTGTTTGTCGAACGTTGTTTTGGCACGTACAGCATGCATGCAAACCATTTGATTGGTATGGAAAAGACGCGAGAAAAAGGAGGGAGGGACGGGGGAGTTTCCTTAGACCTGAGCTTTCTGGTCGATCTTGTTTGGTGTGATTATTTTTGTGGTGCGTAGGTGGCGATTTTGGGGGAAATGGTACGTGCCTGCTGAAAGGATAGCGTTTCTGGTTTCACGCAACGAATCGTGTGCTGCAGAAGGCACCACTACCCTAACAAATTGTGGTAAGGAAGTTGAGGGTTCGATTTCAACGAAAAAACGACAACTCGAAACACACTATCCTACACTACAAAGTTTCATTCCCTGCTGGCTCTCCCAATAAAACTGTTCTGCATACATGCAAGGATTTGTCAAGTGATGTGGGTGTCCTTAATACTGCAACCTCCCCTCGCCCGTGAACCCGAATGCCAAGTCGTACGCCCTCTGCGTGAGCAAGACGTTGATAGCAATCGCTGTGTGCACAATATTCACAAAAACAACGAACAGAAGTGAACGCGCCGGGTGTTCGATGTTCGATGCGTGTTGGTGCGCCTTGTGGAGTCTGGTTCCGTGGACAGAGGTGTGCGAACCCCGATGAGCCGACCCCCGTTTGCAATCGAAATCCCATGTCTGTCGACATTTGCAACCGAATCCCACGTCTGTCGACACTGATGTCTCGCATCTTTCTGTACAGCAGCAGTCTGGCGTCAGGTACACAACACTCCAAGACGTGCTGAACACAACGCGTCGGTGAAATGCGGTTAATTCTCCAAGCTATCATGTGCACCGGTGACAGCAGAATAACAGCAGTGGTATCCTGTCGGCCAGGAGGTAACCGCGCTGCAAACGGCCAGCGCGCCCCTAGAAAGCAGTAGCGACTGAACATGTACTTCTACTGCTGGACATCGGAACGCCCGCGCCTGTTACATACAGCAAAGAAGTTCGCGTTTTCGGTCACTGGCGCAATGCTTCTAAAAGTACGTAGCTCCTCCCAACAGAGAGCGCGGGCAACAAGTGCAAGTACATGCCACAGAATACTTTACCACTGGTACACGTGATCCAGGTCTGCAGACGGAGGTACGAGTATATAAATGTTCAAGTATATTGAGTAGACGGCAACGTGCATGTTGTGCCTTCTTTGGAAATGGCGGTCAATGTAATTTAGCGGGAAGTCTCCGCCACCGACAGACAGCAGTCATGTCCAAAGGTTCGCCAGCTGCTGGCTGGTTCCTCCGGCAACAGACCAGCAAACGTAGGTTGGTTGCCAAAGCACCGTCCACCCTGCGACGTCCAGGCAACCAAGCGGGCAAACACTCCGCAATAGGGACACGCCTGTGTGTGTTTTTTTGCTGAAAGCTGCATGATCGTCGTCGACAATGGTCATGTTGCTTTCTTGCAACGACTTCTCAGTTCTCCGTGTCAAGTGTTGTGTGAAAATATTCTGCACTTTTCTGCTCTCCTGGTTGCAGACCCAAAGAACGTTACCGACATCAGCCTCCCCTACCACCGTGCTCATCCGCACAAGTGCAACAACGACGTGCATACGTCTCCAGCAGGCAGCACGTTAGGGGGTGGTTGCATCCTGATGGTCTCCGGCCGGCGGCGGTACTCATTTCCCGAGGGTCGGTGAGAATGTTCATCATATACAAATATCGCTCTCACCCTTCAAGAACAGCGTGCCTCGGTACGGGAGGATTTCCGTCGCCCGGTTCAGCGCCAGCGGCCTGAGCGGCGCGACGGATACCTCCGAGCGCCTCTTGTTCATCAGGTGCGACTGCATGGTTCGTGCAGCGTCGCCGCCCCCAATGAGGGGGGGTGTCTATTTCCTGCTGCTGTGATGAGCAGAGATAACCGACCGGCCCATCCCTTGGGACCATCAAGGGCGAGGCGAGACAAACACCCTACCCATCAATTCCAATTGTATGTCCCCCCGCACCACTTTCTCGAAATTCTCCTCTCCCCCTGCCTGCTCGCGTCATTCATTGCACAACACGTCGCTTTGCCGGAAAACAAAGATGGTGCTGCTCACGTACTCGGGAGGAAGAGGACGAGGCGGAGAGGCCGCCGCCGCGGGGAGGGGAGGGCGCACGCTCCCCGCGTCCCGGGGCCGGGGCCGAGGCAGAAGCATGTCCTGGAAAAGGACCCCTGCTTCTCCCGTTCCGCCAGATAGACTTGCTCCTGGTGCTGGCTCTCATGTTCCTGGTGCTGCCTCCCCTTCTCCGGTACCAGGCGTAGCTCCACGAGTCGGAGGGAATCGGGTCTGGGTCAATGCGGAAGCCGGAGGGCCAAGCAACGGTCCTAGCAGCGCGACCCGCCAAACCACACCGACTCTGGCGAGAGGCAGTGCGGCCCAGGCCGTCATCAGTACAAAGTACAAGGCGGGCAATCGCAACCGAGTGTGGACCAACAGCAGCACTGCTGCTCAAATCGCCGGTACCAGCAATGTCGCTACGAAGAAACCTGTGGGGCGACCCCCGCCCCCAAGCACGCACGTCGCAGCGTACCGAGGTGGAGCATCGGCCGCGCAACCACGAAGGGGTCCCGGCCACAACCTCGTGTGGACGAAGGCGACACGAAGAGGGGAGGCAGCAGGAGGCCCCGCTCGGTCCGATTCCCGTGGGGTCGCGCCAGCTAGCAGCGAAGGTAGTAACCAGACCAGCAGCACCGCGAGGACGTGGAAGGAACAGTCACTGTCAGCCTGGGCTACAGCAGTCAGCATTAGAAACGCGCATTCGTCGGTGGCCGGAGGAGCGGCGGCTTCATCGAGAGTTACCCCGTCTCCGCTGGCCGCTGCTGTGTCGAAAGCTCCCGCCGCCGCCGCCACCGCAGTGAGACCGAAGCCCGCGGCCGCCGCTCCGCCGTCTTCTCCGACAAAACCAGTCGCGAGATATTCGGGTTCGGCCGTTGGGCGGAGTTCTGCAACGATCGCTGCCGTTGTGGCTGCCCTGGTCCCTTCTGCATCGGCCGTCGCTGTGTCGGAAGCTCCCGCCGCTCTGCCGTCATCCCCGACGAAACCAGTCGCGAGATACTCGTGTTCGGCCGCTGGGCGGAGTTCTGCAACGGTCGCTGTTGCGGCCCCGTCAGGGGCGTCGCCCGCCCCTGTGACGACGTCAAAGCCGCTCGTCGCGCGGTACTCGGGGTCGGCAGCCTCCCAACAGCGTCGAGCCACCGCCGCCGCCGCCGCCGCTGCCGTCGTCGCGACGCGTGCCGGGAAAGGTCCGCCGTCGAGACAAACCGGTGGGCAGCAAGTCGCGCGGTACTCGGGGGGCGCGGCAGCGCGAGGCGGTGCTCATGGCAGCAAGAGCAAGGCCTTCGGGAGGGGGGGCGAGGCTGGCAGGACGTTCGGGCGCGCCGGCAGGGACATGGTTGCCTGGAGCGTCCGGGGAAGGACTGGAACAGGCGCCGGCGCTAGGGGCCGATACAAGTCGCCGCGAGGCCTGCTTGCCTCACAGGGGGGGTGGGGAGCGTGGTATTTCAACGGTAGAGGCTGGGGGCGAGCGCACTCTGGTCATTCAGCATGGGTACCGGCGACGGCGCGCTTCGGGGCGTATCGTACTTCGCCATGGGTGGCAGGCCAGTGGGTTCATCCGTGGGCCGGCTTGAGGGGGCGGGGAAGGGGGCGTGGGCGTGGGCGTGGGCGTGGGCGGGGCTTGTATTCCTCGGCGGCTGGCCGTTCGCGAAAAGCACCCCGGAGCAAGCACGTGCGGTTTAAAAACAGGACCCTTATTCGCGCCCGCAGCCTTCTACCGCAGCAACGCGGCGCGGCGATGACAACGGCAGCGACAATACTGGGTGCGGTTGCTCGACGCGCCTCTTTCGGCGCGACAAGCCGTTTCGCAGGATTGGGGGGTACCGCAGCTTCGTCTACGAACTTCGTCCGTGGCGGGAAGCACGGCATGGCCATCCGACGTGTCGACAGCTCTGCCCTTGCGGCCCGCAGGGCCGCCGCCGCCGCAGCCTCGACCCCGGCTGCCAAGAGGCTCAAGATGTCGATCGACAGAACAACCAGTAGCGCACAGGAGAAGCCAGCTCGGGCGACTGGAGACGGAAACGCTCCTTCGAAAATATTTCCGCTTGCGGTGCGGGCGAAGGCCAGCGCGGTGGCGAAGAGCGGCGTCGCGGCGACGCCGGCGGCCGCCCGGCGGAAAGCGGCTCTGCTGGGCAAGGCGGCCGCTCGCGCGCGAAGCGTGACGTCGAGGAGGGCGGCGGCAGTGGTTGCCGGCGCCCGCGCCAAGCGGACCCGCCTGCAGGTCGTCCGCAACATGACGCTGTACCGCGGGAAGGGGCAGGTGGCCGTAGTCGGCACCGGCAAGGAGGCGGCGTCGGCTGCTGCTGCCAAGAGGAAGAGCAACAACAAGACGGGCGAGCCGTGCCTCTTCTTCTGCAGGTTCGGCAAGTGCTCCAGGTCGGACGAGGAGTGCCGCTACGTCCACGACAGGGCCAAGGTGGCGGTGTGCCGCGCGTTCCTGAGGAAGGGCGGGTGCGACAAGGGAGACAAGTGCCTGCTGACGCACGCCGTCCAGGCGGAGAAGATGCCGGTCTGCATCTACTTCGAGAAGGGAATGTGCTTCACGCCGAACTGCCCGTACCTGCACGTGAAGGTCTCTCAGAACGCGGCGGTCTGCCCCAGATTCTTGAAGGTTCGTTTCTTTCCTCTCAAGCGGTTGCATGGCATGATGGGGAGATGGTTGATCCTCTCCAACCGTTGGTGGCTCCGCTTCCCGTAGGTTGCGATGACGGGGAATACTGGGGTGTTTCTTGTGTTGGGTCTTGATTGTCGGTCGTGCGTTGTAGCGGTAGTGTTGTGTAACGCTTGCGAGTGCGTTCCCTTCTGATATGCTCCCTCCGCCCCCCGCCCCTGCTGTCCGTACCGTCTTCATCTTTTCTTTTCTTCGTCGCATGCACGTCTGCCACTCTGCGTGTCTGTTTGGTTGTTTCGCCACCGGTAACGATCGAACCGAACACAAACGACAAAGCAGGGTCATTGTCCGGATGGCACAGCCTGCAGGCTCAAGCACGAGCTCCCAGACCCCAGGAAACGGGCGAAGGATGATTCCGCTGGAGGCGACCATGGCGTGAGCATATGCAGCATTCAAAAGATTGTAGAATAGCCGACTTCGACTGTTTCAAAAGTCTTGCGCTCGAAACATTCTTCCTCGAGTTACATGTGTATCGTAGCTTTCCTCGGTACTCCACTGAAACCTCTGTTGACTCTTGTTGATTAATGGTTTGGTGTGGTTGCCACTTTCCCACTCGTAAACCGGAGAGGGCGTTGTGTGCACATACCATGTTCGTGAGTTGTGTGTCGAGTCTGTGTGTCGGCCTCGCCATTTCTTTATATTCTCAATCTGCATCCTGCTGCTGCTGCTGCTGCTGCTGGACAGGGTCCCCTCCGCCCATCCCCGCTTTGATGAAGCTCTTTAGCTTAGTCGCACACCCTTTCTCCCCTTCCCGCTTTCTCTCGCCGGTGCTATGTGATGTTCCTCCTCTTTTTTGATGCCTCTCTGCGTTTCGAAGGACGGCGACGAAAATACCACCCTCAAGAAGAAGACACGGACGACACCATCGGCTTCGGAGACAGGTTCGGAAGTCCCCCCTCGTCGCTCCCGTGAAAAGAGCAAGGGACGTCGTTGTGCCCCCTCCCGCCGCACCGAGAGCACTACAGCCGGCTCTCCTCCGTCTTCCGATCACACGGCGGTGTCGTGGGTTATGAGAATGGAAAAAGCACGAGCGGCATTGGCTTGGGGACGCTGGCTTGGGGACACTGCTCCTGCCCTCGAAATTTCGTTCATCTCGCAACGCTTCACGTTGCATGTTGAGACCCTAGCTTTCGGCGGCCGACGTCACATATGTTTTTTTTCGCACCTCTCGATGACACACTGAAACGAACGCGGGCTGGGCTTTCATCGGTCCTGCGACCTGGGGGGCCGTTTTCGCGGATCCCCCTCCCCACCCACAGCGTTGCCCCTGTGGTTCATGGCTGCGCGTGCCTTTTGGCTTGTTCCGCTAGTAAAGGGGAGGGGGTAATGTGGAAATCACCTTCCTTCATGAAGGTACTATCTCCAATGTGGAGACCACGTCCCTTCATGAAAGGTACTATCTCCCCAACGTCTGTCGACCCAGCGCCGTGGAGCGTCCGCTGCCCGTGGTCGAAGATCCAGCGGTAGTGGTAGCCATCCCCGTCTGTCCTTTACGCCGTGTACTCACCCCACCTGCCGACAGGTCGGGTGAGAACAACAGGTAGGGTGAGTACATGGCGTAAAGGACAGACGGGGATGGCTATCACTTCCGCTGGATCTTCGACCACGGGCAGCGGACGCTCCACGGCGCTGGGTCGACAGACGTTGGGGAGATAGTACCTTTCATGAAGGGACGTGGTCTCCACATTGGAGATAGTACCTTCATGAAGGAAGGTGATTTCCACATTACCCCCTCCCCTTTACTAGCGGAACAAGCCAAAAGGCACGCGCAGCCATGAACCACAGGGGCAACGCTGTGGGTGGGGAGGGGGATCCGCGANGGGTAACCGGAACCCCGCCGGCTGGCGGCGGGGCGATTGACCTCTTCACAATCCTCTGTGCGTGATTTCACGGGTTCGCTACGTCCGCCAAGTTCCGAGTTCGATGCCCGGTGCGTCCTTCTTCGCCCACCAACCGTTTGTCTTTTCTTCTCGTTTTCCGGAAGAAAATTTGGTGAGCGGCGGGGTTCAACCCCGTGTATTCCGCCACCAAAAGCGGACACTGGCATTTCTTCGTCGGGGAGATATCGTAGTACGTTTGTGAAGGAAGGTGGTCCCCACATTGGACATAGTACCTTGGTGAAGGAAGGTGAAATCCACAATTTTGTTTCTCTCATTTCTTCCCTCTCCCCTTCGTCGCGCGTGTGCCCCTCCCCCCACCCCCTCCCCCGTCCCTCCTTCCGTGCGTCGTGTGTGGCCGTGTTTCGTTCTTTCGCGTTGCTTGTTTGCTATGGGTGGATTGCACCTTGTGTGTTGTGTGCATGTTCTCAATGCGGTGGTGTTTTTTTTTTCTGACCTCGTATGAATGATGGATGGCCGGTGATTTTTTTCGTTGTGGTTTCATCGTTTGGGCCGAACTGGTGGGGTGTGCCATGGTGCTTTCTACCCATCTCTTGGTGTGTGATGCTGTGGTGGTGGCGATCGTTTTCTCCTCCCTGCGCCGCTTCTTCCTTGCCCGGTTTTCGAATCGCGGCTCGGGAACCAACTTTTGGATTTTATTTTGTCGTCGCTTGCGCATGGGCGTTTCTTTTTTTCGGTTGCTTACATTTTTTTCGTGGTGGTCGTTACTTCCACGCGTGTGTCGTGTATGGTGTGGCCCCTTTCTTCCTGTTGCCGTGATTCTTGAACGGTGTGATAAACTTCCATCATTCGTGACAACAACAACGGCGACAAGAAGGCGCGGGAGAAGACGGTTCGGCTGCGGCTTCAGCGGCGTCCACGGCGACGGTCGACGGTGGCGGCGGCGTGGGTCCCTCCGAAGGTAGGTCAGGTAAGTCGGCGGTTTTGCCGCCATCAAGCGCGGCGGCGGCGGCGGCGGCGGAGGCGGAGGCGGAGGTCGTCAAGGGTGGGGGAGGAGTGCGGGGGGAGATTGCAGAGCCAGTGGCAAACGGCGGCGGGGGCCCCGCTGCTGCGACAACTGGGGGTGCGCGGGAGGGGGGTGGGCCTGTTCCCGGGGAGGTAGGGGGGAGACAGGGGACACGGGAGCCGCCGGCAGGTGTCGGGCAAGTACGCAAGGGGCCAGACGGGGAAGGCGAGGATGATGATGATGATGATGATCTCAAGCCCATCTTTCTCCGCAAGCGCAAGAAGAGATAGTGGAGGGCGGCGATCTCTTGTTCGTTTCTCGCTGGAAGCTTAAAGTAGCTGGCGCCGCACGTGGACGGCGACGATGACAACCCGTCGGGAAGAAGCCGAAGTGTCGATAGAGTGTGTGGTGAAGGAGGCAACGGCGGACGGCAGCGGGCGGGTGGGGAATCTAAGTATGGAGTTGCGGGGAGTCCGCGAGCGGTGTCGATTTTGTTTGCTGTTGGTGTTGCCACACTCCATGACCCTTGTGTACCTCGTATCCCGTAATCTTGACGCAAAAAGGGATTGTTGTCGTGGTCACAGGATAATCCCAAGAGACATATGCTAGAGGCAGACCGTGAGAAAATGTCTAGAATCGTTCGTGAACAGCAGTTGAGGTTTTGTCGGTGTTGTAGCCTGCAAGAGGAGATGCTCGGAGTTTGGGCAGACGCTGGTCTGCCAGGATTTGTAGTGTAAGTAGATATGCGTCGGCAGAATAACGAGAGAGCAGAGAGGAGCAGCGTTATTTTTTCCGTGATAGAATGGGCATGGAGTTTGGCAAGAATTTGCGAGTCCTCTCTAAGCTTGCTTGGTCTGTAGCTTTGTGTTATCTGTCTGTTGCCGGGAACGTTGCTGTTCTCTTTGGGCATGTTTTGCAGTTCTGCGGCCACTACTTGAACAACACCAGTAGCGACGAATGATAAGAGGTGGCGGGATCTCTGGCCAGTCTTTGTGTTACGTGTTGGTGTCTTTGGGCGTAGACACCCTTTGTTTTGTGGTCTTCGTGCTGGTGGATGGTGTCATCTCCTCGTAGGTATGATCTTGTCTTCGATGCCTCTTTGTTCAGCAGCAGTGGTCGGCCAGTCAGTATTGCGTGAAACTGCTGTTGCGTTTGCTATTCTCAGCGATGTACATACTTGGTCTAGGATGAAAGCGACGCGCTGCAGAGCTCGTTGTTAGTAAACCATAATCGACTTCGTAAGTCGCGAGGGAAGGGATTGATTGCTGTACCCTTCTCGCGATAAAAATACCTCAGGCAGGAACCGCAGGAGGGGGTCCAGCCCCCCCCTCCTATGTGACCCCGGTCGGGTCGTCTAGCTAGTAGAAGTGGAGGATAGGGGCCAGAGGGGCAGACGACAGAGTCCAATGATGGGAGAAAAAAAAAAAAAAACTTGTGTTGGCCTGAATTTTTTCAGTGCCATATCGTAAACGTTGCTTGTGTGTATTATAGTGGAGTAAGTGCACCGCGCGATAGGTGCAAAGCCCATTAGTGTTTGGTTTTATATTGACGTATGTCTAAACAAGACTGCCCCCCTAAGGGGTTCCTTGCTCCGTGTCAGGTTCATCATTCCATGGGTGCATCATGGTGTACGCCTCCGCAGACCTTTTTCTCTTGCGTTTGTGGTCTTGTGGGCCGGAGTTTTGGGTGTGCATCGACAGGGAGAAATTTCCAACCTTTTTCAAGCTTGAGATACGGCTCGGCTGCGTTTCGTCGGTCCATGACTGTCGGATTTTTCGTCAATATCCGTGAGAGGGGGATCACACCGCCGCGGGTTGACCATCGGGGCCCCATGTTACGCTTCGGGCTGAAGAACATGACCATGGAGAGGGTCATCGTGCGCTGTTGGCGGTACGCGCTAACGCGATGTACTTGGATCTGTTCAGGGAGGGGGCAGTTTTTTTTGTGGGTCCCGATCATTTTATTTTTTTTCTGCACTGAGAGGCTTCGATCCGGGGTGACGCGAAAGAAATCCACCGAAGTGCCACAGCATCCGGTACACAAGCCTTTTGAGTGCGAAAATATACCCTCCTTTCGCCTGCGTTTTGTCTCTGGACTCAAATTTGTCTCACGACCAGACACAAGGAGCCGCCCGATGTACACTCGTCGTTAGCCTGTTGCACCACCAGCCGCCCACCCTCTACAGTCTTCCCTCGCGCGGCGAAGCTCCATACCTCCGATTTACGGTCACACCGAAGGGGTACAAACTCGCCGTTCATCCAACTCATTGGCATGTTAATGCTTCCGCCGTCCATGTCTGCGGCCGGTGCTTAACCCTACGGCATCTCAGCTTTCCTCCACTGCGCAGGTGGTGGTGGTCCCTTCGGCACTTGCGGCCGAACCGATCGCGCTGCCCGCCACCCACCCAGTTGTCCACGCGCTCTGGAAGTTGAAACCGCCGGTAACGCCGTCCACGTCGACGACCTCCCCGGCGAAGTGGAGCCCGGCGACGGTCTTGCTCTCCATCGTACGCATGTCGAGAGCCGAGAGCGCGACGCCTCCGCAGGTGACGAACTCCTCCTTGAAGGACCCCTTGCCGACGATCTGGCGTCAGCGAGAAACGTAGGTGTGAAGGGGGGCGGGAAAGATGACACCGAACACTGCGGCCACACCTTCGTTGGAGACGGCAGACGGTAGCTATACAGGCAGAGAAGGGTGTGTCCATCGAGTGATGGGTACCGAAACCGGCAAACCGATACATCGAGAGCTTTCGACGTTGCTGCACATCTGTTTGGTTGGACCAGCTGTTGCGAAACGGCAACTTGAGCATCGACCACGTCGTGTGCTGTGTGTTCTTCACCGTGCAAACAGGCCTCCTGGAAACGGCAGCAGAAACCTTCGCTTAGGCTGCAAGCGACAAAACATCCAAAACCATCAACCAATCCAAAGGTACTTTGGTGTGATGCCCGTTCTGTCGGTAAATGGCTTCTTGCAGAGACGAACTCTACACAAACCGACTGCAAACAGCTACCACAGCATGGGATGGTGCTACCCAAAAAACACCGGAAAAGCGACGACCAACCTGAAATTCACAGGCTGTCAGCTGCTGCGCCAAGGCCGAGAGCTTCGCCTTCGACAAGTCTGCCCACTTGTCTCCCGCTGCCACGCCCGCCGCCAGCGCCAAGCTCTGCCACAGGCGGCGGGGTAGGCTCGAGATAGACGGCGGCTGCGGCGACTGTGGTCGTCCTCCCGAACTCACAGAGGAACCTAGCGCCCCGCTGCCAACAACGGGGCAGAACGCGTACACGGTCTTCTTCGCGTTCCTTGTACGGAACGCTTGGAGGTCGTCAAGAGTCTGTGGTAGAGTCGTTACGGTTATTGTCGTTGTCGTCGAAAAGATGATCACGACAACGGCGGGGGCTGTTGTCAGCGGTTGGTATTGGCGCGTGTTATTCCCCCAACGAGGACGACTGCGACCACCAAAAACAAACCGGAGTTCGTGGGCAGGACTGAGGGTGTCCACAAAAAAAAAGTCAGAGGCAGGCGCCCCAGCGATCGTTCGCAACATGATTCCCGGAAACGAAGCAAGGGCCCGCACCGCTCAACATAAATCGATTCGAAAGCTCTACCACAATCGACTCGTCTGCGTGTCTTAGTCCAAGCCGGCAGGGATTGGTCTCAACCGGCGTGCAACGAAGCGCGGACGGTGAGAGCTGAGTTTACCTTGCTCGGGTTGTTCCCTGCCATCCAGTTCACCACAAGCCTGCCCCTGTAGCCGCTCTCGTTCAGTACTCGCGCCCCGAAAGCCGACAGCTTTAACGCGGCCGGTCCAGACACCCCTTCGAGGTGAGTCGCGCACATACCCACACCGCGCGTGGAAAACGAAATTGGGGGGGGGGGG